TCGGATTTGCACTCGACCTTTACATCTGTGCCGTTTCTCCCTACCTAACGCGTGTGAGACTGCAGCCAGTTGATTCTTCTATTATCCAAATTTAACAGTAGTTTAGTCAACAGACACTCATCCCGTGGATCACAGCAAAAATGCAAATGCAGTCAAAGGAAAATGAGGTCCGGCTGAACAAATTGCCCCGTGTTGTTGGTCTGAGTGGTGTTCTGGAGTATCAATGGCATTGGAACACCGTAACGTACACTTTGGTTGTTCGCGGTTGAAACGCAATGCTTGTCGTTCAGAAAGTATGGCTTTACACGGGATGCCCCACAAGTATTACCTCCAAACCAGTAACGGTAAGCCGCGAGGCATTTGCTGTAAAGATATGCTGCAGTAAATTAAGGGCTTATTATTGACCGACTGCCCTGGGACAAGCAGAAGTGTGACCTATCGTAAGGTATGAGTCAACTTCTGTCAGTTTAGTGGACACAAGGATGAACTGCGGTTCACCGATTCGACGTCTTTCTCATCAATCCACCTACCTGGTTGCTAAGGCAAATGAGTTGTGCGAATCCCGACGCATCAGGTTAACCGCACACTAAACACGACCAATATCGAATCAATAAAAGGTAACGAATGTAACGAGACGCACACCCACCGCAATTTGTTAGCTTGCACGAACAGTCGCGCTTAAAAATTCTCCATCCATTTTGGCAAAGTACTCCTGAGTGCACTCGGGTTCTTCCTGGTGTAGGCCCTATCGAATTTGAACCCGCAGTATCTGGCATTCCAACCTAACATTGTTATATCTGCTGATTTGCCAATCTGAGGTATCTGCTGTTGACCCGCTTCAGTGCCTAGTGCCGGAGAAAGACTCACAGAAGGGAACACGACAGCTGTATGTCGAACAAGCGAGTCTGAGAGCGTGAATGCATGCGAGAGTACAACGGTCTCAAGCTATTTATTCGAGGGAGACTGTGTGACTTGGTCCAGTGCTGACGCACGCGGTCTGGCTTTGGTAGGAGGCTGCGACGCGGATGCGTTGTCTGACCTTGATCAACGCTGACTCGCGCTGTCTGGGTTTGATACAAGGCTGTGAAGCGCTGCATATTGAGGGGTCGCTATCTGTCTGGTCAACATCTAGCGGAGCTGAGAGTCTCCGTAGATTCCGGGCATTCAGTGGTTGCTTTCAGGAAGCTGACCTTTCTAATAGTAACAGAGCGTAGCGTTTTCCCTTCTGAAAAGCTACTTGAATGTTGGCTATGTTTAACAATCTTCGAATAACCTCCGATGTTCCCGCTTTATATGGAATGACTGCTGTGCCAATCCATTCCTTACTGGGTCTAGATACTGGAGCCAATATCTTTCTTAGTTGAGGCTTGATCAAACTCACTGGGTATCCTATTTCTTGAAGTTTGTTGGCAATGTCGATTTGAGCTGCCGTTCGGTCGATCTCTTCTGTGCACAGCGCTCTGACCCGACTAAACATCGATGGGACTGCTGGAAGTACACGGACTTTGGGTGTGCTGCTGAGTTGTTTAAAACGGTTCCTGTGTCTTTTGGTTTCTGGTAGATAGTAGTTTTTAGGTTACCACCACCCGTGTATGTTATACAGTCCAGGAAGAGTAATATACCGGAGGGGGACTCTATCTCCGTGCTAAACTTGATGTGTGGATTTAAACTATTGAGATGGTTGTGGAATCTGTTCACGTTGTCCCGTTTGATTACAATAAAGGCATCCTCAATATAACCCCGAAAAAACTTTCGACGGACAATGGTGTCCGGCCAAGGCCATGTGTTCGATGTCCTCCGTATAATTATTAGCTAAAATTGGGGATATTGGAGATCCCATTGTAAGATCTCTTTCTTGTGAGTAAACATTTTTGTCAAAAACAAACTGATCGAGATACAAACACACTCTTATGCCCTCAACTATTTCATCCACCGAGAGGTGCGTGCGTTTCACAAGTGTCGCGTTTGCCAGTAACAACCACCTAGTTACCTCCAGGGGACGAGATGGACCAAGTAGGTAGAGCGCGAATTTACTTACCGGAAGGTCCGTGGTTCGAACCCGACCTCAGCCTCTCGACTTCCACTGTCTATGCTTGGGCAACCTGACATTACCCAAGCCCTCGTGCTCCTTTGGGTGGCATGGCAGCTAGGCACCGAAAGGGTGCTACAGCTGAATGATTTTTTTAGTTACCTGCAGAGCATCTGCCCATGGGATGTTTGTGTTTTCAACTGATTGTAGCTCTCTTCTCCTTTCATCAGTCTCAGCAATTCGATAATGATAGAATGTGTTGTAAATAGCCTCACTTTTGACGTCGTAATAAAGCCATTGGCACACTGGTACACGTACTGCTCGCTCTTTTCTTATACGTGACGGGATTAAAGTGGTTAGCGATCCTCTCAAAAGCCTTGATCCCGTTTCCCATCGATGTCTCACAAAACCACAGGCACTCCTCCAAGCTTTTGGGTGAGTTAATCACAATTCTGATCAGCTGCTCTTGACCGAACGGTTAAGTGTCCGACCTACTAGCCGGGATCTCGGGACTTCCTGGGTTTTCGTCAGATGCGTACTGTCGATGATTCCCGCAGCTGTGCAGTGCTTCTTGATCAATCAGCATAGATTGGCTTCACTAACAGAGTGAAATTTCAATTGGAGATCATTATTTGTATTTGGATTAAAAAAATCGTTCAGCTGTAGCACCCCTTCGGTGCCTAGCTGCCATGCCACACGGAGGAGGCACGAGGGCTGGGATACTGCCAGGTCGCCCAAGCCTAGACAGGGGAAATAGAGAGGCAGAGGTCGGGTTCGAGCCACGGACCTTCCGGTCAGTAAATTCGCGCTCTAACCACTTGGATTAAGTGTTCAGGACCGCCTATAGGTTAGATCTAGACACGGCCCCACCTTCATGCATACTGGCTTTCCCGAAAGACTACCGCATCTTGAAAAGCCCCAACTGATGCGATCGCTGTACCACTAATACACAGAGATTGCCGTGTGCGATACTGTCAAGTAACATACCTGTTCAGCGTTTAGGATAATCGGAAACACCTGACATTTCTCCACCCCAGGTAGTTCCTTACTGACTTATCCCAGGAGCGGACAATCAACTTTCCCCAGGTCTGTAGTCCTGAATTTGTCCTCGTCGTACTGTCCCTCGCTAGAACGTCACTCTCGTATTCTATCACCTTTTATGCCCCTTCCTACCGTGGTTCTCTCATCGCTCTTCATTTAAATCAGATTTATTCAGTTAAACTGGCGTATGTTGTATCTAACTCCCGTCTTCCGCTCCAATGTCTTAGTACCGGAAAAAGACTCGCGAACAAGCAACATAAACAGCTCTATTGCAATCAAGCGAGTGGGAAAGTCACAAGGGGCCTCGTGCCATTTAAGTGAAATCTTGACATTAATCCAGACTGTCCGATCAGTATATGGTGAACATTCATCATCATCGATCGTACCTCCGTGACGCGTCTGAAAGCTTGTCGGTCGCTGGTGCATTTATTGATTGATTGACTGGTTTGGACGCTTGCCGGCTCCCCTACTGTGATTTTGGTGGAGTTTGAGTGTCTCAGTAGGTTTTGGGCATTCCGGGAGGGATTTCAGGAATCTGATCTTCTTGACAATGTACATCACTGATTTATATCACTAGGACAGTTATATTTTAGCAACGGCATATTAGTGGTCTATCGCGCTTCAACCGCATCGTCGCTGATTACGTTGATGGTAGCAAGAAGAACGGAGGCATGGGTGGTTTCGTCCGGATTTGCATTCATCAGGTGGATGTAGCTGGATTAGTCATGTGTCTGTTCGGTTAACATTTTTCATCGTTAACTGCAGCGCCAAACGATCACTAACCACACTGTTATATCTGCCGATTCGTCAATCTGTGGTATCTGCTGCTGACCCGCTCCAGTGCCTAGTTTCCGAAAAAAAAGAGTCACAGAAGAGAACACAACAACTATATTCCGAACAAGCGAGTGCCAGAGCAACGGCCTCACGCTATTTAAAGGGAACTTTCTGACATTGATCCAGGATGTCTGATGGGCGTTAGTGAACACCCATCAACAGTGATCGTGCCTTTATGAAATGCCTGAACGCAGCTCACATTCGGTCGTGCTTCTGTGGCGTGCATGGACACTCATCAGCTTTTGCTGAATTGATTGAATGATTGCCTGGCCTAGATGCATGTCGACTTTCCTGTTGCGGTTTTGGTGGAGCAGTAGGTTTCGGGCGTTCTGAGGTTGCGTTCAGGAATCTGACCTTCCTGATACACACCAGCCCTAAGATGAGCCCATATGATGAAATATCTTGAAAGAAAAGGATCCCTTTTGACTTCAGTCGACCATGCGAAAATGCCTTTAGAGACCACGTCTAGGTAAATCGATCTAGTCACATCCGCTCGCTGACCCCTCTCGAGGGCGAAATGCGTGGTGGATCGCTCTTCAGGATGATCAAGGTCGTCATGTCCAAATCTCCGACCTACCTGATTATCGTGGATTGTTTAGAATAATACTTGGCTTATGTAATATGGTCGGAATCAGTGACATTTCACCGAATGGGATTATCCAGGAATTCACCCGTTCGTATCCGATCTGGTAGAGGGAGCCACAAGCTTTACTTGTGGCATTTTGAAAGCAATGCTTTCCTCACCTCGGATGATTACATCTTATCCATCACCTAGCTGTGAAGAGTAGGTAGTATGCGATAAAAAATGACGGTAGACATCAGCAGCTGGCTATTAATGGAGATTTCGTCCTGTCAGTGAAGCCAATCTATGCTGGAAAGCCGTCTAAGTGAGAGTTGATCACACGAGTGCTCATTCGCTCGGGGCCGAGCTGTTATGCATTCAAACTAACCGTCGGGATATCACGGATTTCAAATTATCCGAATTTTCGTTAGATGTGCACTGCTAATGATCCCCAATAAGGATGAAGCAACCATACATGCATCTTCGCGTCTCAGCATAGTTTGGCTTCACTGACAGGACGAAATTTCCATCGGTAGCTCGCTGCAATCAAAACAGTGTGCTCTGGAGACTTCATGAATATCTATCTGATTCTGTTCCATTTCGAACACCGTCGTCAGATGAACATGAATGTTTCGTGGTTTGTTCAGTCGCAGTTGGTAAAAAAAACCTCGGCCAAGCATGTTGAGGTGGCCTTGTCGTCTGCCACTGCATCCGTCTTGGGTTGAAGACAGTAAAAAACGACAATTCCCGTTTCTAAGTGAGCTGACATGCGACACACTCATCACCATCCTGGACAGTAATATTTACATAGTAACAAATGGTGCTGAACTGTCATGCAAGTAGAAAGGAAGAAAGACTCGATGTAGGCTGAAAAGAAAAGGAACGAGCGTGGAATTATTGCAAAATGCACAAGAGCATGGTGCATGCAACTTCTGAAACCATGCAAACAAACACATCTGAGCATCATGCTGGAGCAAGGCCTTATCAGTGGGGTTGGCCCGACGTCTTTTGTGAAATTCACCCAACACAAGCCAAGGAAACAACGACAGACCACCGTTTGTTAGACAATCCGACTAAAATGTGAAGGTAAGCTTGCCCCTGGATCGTTTAAATTCCATGTACTGTAGGGGTGCACAGGAAGAATCACGCGGACTTCACCCATAAAGACGCGAAGACCCCACAGCAGCCTTCAGCTCGGCAGTAGCCGATTCCGTTCCTCGTGTCCACGTTATGGAAGTTCTCATTCGCGGGAGTTTGGAATGAAGAACAAGACTTTCTTTGGTCTCTTCTTGTTCAGACGTACATAGCATACGTCTTAATGTGACGAGCCTTATCTTCTACCCAAGTAAACTGGACATGTTAACTTTAGTTACGTTCTAGATCGTAATCTTACGTACATGCTTCAGTCAGTTAGTGATAAAATATTTGATGACATTTGTGGTCTTCAGATCAGGGAGACTGGTTTTCACAGCCATATCGTGGGATCGCTCTTACAGTGGTTTTGTAAATACGACCCCCTAACCTCAGTGATATTCATTTCCGGTACCGAAGCTGGCGCAAGTCGGTGATCATCAAGCAAGCTGCAGCTTGGGAGCCGAGAGCTGCAGCCATGCCGGCCTTACGCTGTGCAACAAATGCAAAGCTCGCTGGATGACACAAGTGTTTACGTTTAGATAACAAAGTTGGTGCAAGGCCGGTTGCCATATTTGGGTATCCTGTCCGGAAAGGCATCAAATGACAGTTGATAAAGAACAGAACAGTGCTGCTACTAACCTTTTTGGGGACTACGGCATCTGAACGGAATGGCAGGACCTCAAACATTCGATACTTGAGACGAATGCGTTACCACTTGACCGATCGATAACTCGCTCATCCGTCAGACAATCGAGAAATTGCAGTTCTGACATCCTATTTTGACCAAAAATTTAGTCCGGTTTCTCCCGCTTCATGCGAGGCCTAATCAGAATTCTAACCTTCATCTGTAAATTGGGCAGGCTGTGGAGGGAAGAAGCCATTCATTAGGATAAACAATAATAAACGTATGCAGCCTGAGTCACGGAACCTTCAAGATTTCTCCTGGAGCAACAATGAGCGATTGAATTACAGAGGCTAGTCGAAGAAGGGATTCGACAAAGTCGCGACGGCCTGTCACTGGAATGATGGGAACGCGTTGGTACACAATGCTGTATCTTATGGCTTGGTTCGGCTGCCAACCGAACAA